CCCCTTACCTCAAGTAGATTGGCTAAGAAAAAAACTAAATCAACTGCATGATATGAAAGGATTTTAGAAGAGCTGTCGGCCTCCCGATCAACGCGAGTACCAAAAGATTTCTAGAGCTAGGACTTGACAACTTACTCGAGTTCATTGAGGCCCATGACGTCGCGCAATACGAACGCTTAACCAAATCAAAGATGGGTCGACACATCCTTGAGTCGCTGGGCATCAGATATCACACTCAGCAAAGAGAAAAGGTGGAGGTCCCTATCTCAGTCCGCGAACGCTTGATGTTCCGCCGATTCCTAAGAATATGCACCCGACGCACCACATCGGACGACGTAATAAGCATGCTAGACAGCTTGAAAAGAAGTTTGGTAACAGTACAAACGTGGTATACGTAGACGCCGCGTATACTCAAAATAATCAAATGGTGGTTTTGGGACGTTAAACCCCACATATCAATCAACGTAGACGCCGCGAGATATGGAGAAGGAAGAAGAGCCCACGCAACTGTGGTCGCTGACCATTAGGGCAAATGCCTTGCGAGCGCCACAGTGACGACAGGACACACGGAGGCGGCCGAAAAAGCCGCGATAGCCTTTGCACTCACCGCAGCACCACATGCAAAGATTGTGATAAGCAACTCGCAGGCAGCAGTCCGCAGTTTCGTGCGCGGCCATATCTCGCTGGAAGCGGCGCGCATTCTTCAAATGTGCGGAGATGGCGACTCGACCTCGCGCTCACAACCCCGAATTCCAACGGTTTTCCTTCTATGGACCCTGGCACACACCAGCGTTCCGCTCGTGGGGAACGAGGCGGTCTACACTGCGGTTCGAGGTCTCACTCCCCGAGCCGCGGCTCACTATGTGGCCGCCGCCTCTGACTCCGAAAGCTGGGCGATGCATCTGCTGTATCAAGGCACTTTGATAGGCATGCAGCCACAAGATTCACAATGGTCATGGGGTGATCGTCTTACAAGGTTCCGTGACATCACCCAACACTACAAGCTTGAAAGGCTTAGAATCCCGCCACCGCACGAGAAATCAAACAGGCGCGATGCCGTAAGGCTTACTCCAAGCCCATTCCTACCCTAGCCCGGTCGTTCTGCGCCACCTCTACCCGAACATATACCCCACCAATATGTGTAAAGCATGCGGGCACAGAGTAACGCTGAGCCACATGCTCTGGGAATGTGTCGGCGAGGACAGTCATGAAAACGCCGCCAATAGCGATGCGCCTATAGCGGCCGTCAATACCAAATCAAAAGGAGCCTCAAGCTCACTCGTTCCTGCCACCGCCCCGGCTGCGGGAGCCGCGGAAGACCTTCTTCGTTAGCGTCGCCGTCGCTGGGGAGCGGCCCTCCAAAGCCCAGAGCTGAACGACCAACTCTGGGCCGTCCGGCAGGCCGAGGATGCTGCCCGTGTCCAGGGACTACGAGCCGCCACCTAAAGCCACTGAGACCAAATTGCCGGTTCATTGTGTCTAATAGAAGAGCAGCGGTGGGGTAGTGGTTAGAGCATCCGCCTCGCATGCAAAAGGTTCGTAACTCAAATCCCCGTGCCGCGCAGTTCCCAACAGGATAAAAAAAAAAATCCGCATGGTGATGGAACTGCATTACGAGGCCTGGGGTGCGGCATCACCGGTAACCACCGCCAGGAACGCACTCCCTCACCAGAGAAGGATTGGCCACCCTGGTGCAGTATCTGGCCACTACCTCCCACATGCATACGTCTAATAACTCACGGCCCTCAGTCCCCAGCAGCTGCGAAGCAACTGACCACGGCGGCAGTCAGATCTGCAACGCAGCAGAGGCTGCTAAGAATCTCTGCATCCGGACAGGCCGCCATTGGAACCTGAACTTGGCAACGTTCAACGCTAGAACCTTATCTAGTGAGGAAAGTCTAGCTGTACTATTCGAGGAGCTAGAGGGTGTTAAATGTGATATAATATGGCTCAGTGAGGTTAGGAGGACAGATGAGGCCTATACGGTGCTACAGAATAGGCACGTCCTTTGCTATCGGGGCTTGGCTGACAGAAGAGAACAGGGAGCGGGGTTTCTAATTCACAGAAACATAGCTGGCAACATAGAGGAATACTATAGCAATAATGAAAGGGTGGTAGGTACCGTAATTAAACCGAATAAGAGATACAATATAAAGGTGGTACAGGCTTACGCGCCTACATCCAGCCATGATGACGCTTCAGTTGAAAGCTTCTATGAAGACGTGGAATCGGCAATGAGTAAGGTAAAAACACAGTATATAATACTGATGGGAGACGACTTTAATGCAAAGGTAGAGAAGAAGCAGACTGGAGACCAGGCAGTAGGAGATTATGGCATCGGTACTAGAAACGCCTCTGACGAGTATCATTACGGAGTGTGCAGTGGAAGTTGGAGGCAGGGTAGTTAGACAGGACACTGGCAAGCTTTCCCAGGAAACGAAGAATCTCATTAAGAAGCGTCAAATCATGAAAGTCTCAAGTACAACAGACAAAATAGAACTGGGAGAGTTGTCGAAGTTGATTAATCAGCGTAAGGTATCCGACGTAAGAAGGTATAACATGGAGAGAATTGAACATGCTCTGAAAAACGGAGCAAGCGTCAAAGCAGTGAAGAGGAAACTTGGGATAGGCAAAAATCGGACGTATGCACTAAGGGACAAAGAAGGCAAAATAACTACCAATATGGATAGGATAGTTAAAATAGCGGAGGAGTTTTACATAGATCTGTACAGTAACCGGGACAACCACAACTTTAATACTATAAGAACTAGCAGTAACCCAGATGACACCCCACCAGTAATGATAGAAGTCAGAAAAGCTTTGGAGAGCATGCAAAGAGGCAAAGCTGCTGGTGAGGATCAGGTAACATCAGATCTACTGAAAGATGGAGGACAGATTGTGTTAGAAAAACTAGCCACTCTGTTTACGAGGTGTCTCCTGACAGGAAGAGTACGAGAGTCTTGTAAGAACGCTAACATCATCTTAATACATAAGAAAGGAGATGACAAGGACTTGAAGAATTACAGGCCGATCAGCTTGCTCTCAATAGTATACAAGCTATTTACAAAGGTAATTGCTAACAGAGTAAAGAAAACATTAGAATCCAATCAACCAAAGGAACAAGCAGGATTTCGAACAGGCTACTCAGCAATCGACCACATTCATACTATCAATCGGGTAATAGAGAAATGCTCAGAATATAACTAACCGCTATACAGAGCTTTCATAGATTACGAGAAGGTGTTTGATTCAGTAGAAATATCAGCCGTCATGCAGACACTGTGGAATCAGGGCATCGATCACTGCGGAATCAGGGCGTCGATGAAGTAGTATATATAAACATCCTAGAAAAAATCTACAGGGGATCAACTGCTATCATAGTGCTTTATAAAGAAAGCAACAGAATACTAATCAAGAAGGGTGTAAGGCTGGGGGACACAATCTCTCCAATGCTATTTACCGCGTGCTTACAGGAGGTTTTCAGAAGCCTAGAATGGGAACAGTTAGGGATAAGAGTTAATGAAGAGTACCTTAGTAACCTGCGCTTTGCCGATGACATTGCATCGCTGAGTAACTCAGGGGACGAATTGCAACTCATGATTACGGAGTTAGACAAGGAGAGCAGAAAGATAGGTCTTAAAATGAATCTGCAGAAAACGAAAGTACCGTAATGTACAACAACCTCGGAAATGAGCAGTGCTTCAAAATAGGTAATAGTGCATTTCGAGTTGTAAAAGACTATGTCTACTTAGGGCAGGTAATAACCGCGGCGCCGAACTATGAGATTGAAATAACTAGAAGAATAAGAATGGGGTGGAGCACATTTGGCAAGCACTCTCAAATTATGACAGGTAGATTGCCACTATTCCTCAAGAGAAAGGTATATAACAGCTGTATCTTGCCGGTACTTAGCTATGGAGCAGAAACCTGGAGACTTACAAAGAGGGTTCAGCTTAAGTTGAGGCCTACACAGCGAGCAATGGAAGCAAAAATGGTAGGTGTAACCTTAAGAGACAAGAAGATAGCAGAGTGGATTAGGGAACAAACGGGGGTGAAAGATATCATAGCTGAAATCAAGAAGAAGAAATGGACATGGGCCGCGCATGTAGCGCATAGACAGGATAACCGCTGGTCGTTAAGGGTAACTAACTGGATTCCCAGAGAAGGCAAGCGGGTTAGGGGGAGACAGAAGGTTAGGTGGGCAGATGAGATTAAGAAGTTTGCGGGTATAAATTGGCAGCAGCAAGCACAGGACCGGGTTAACTGGCGGAACATGGAAGAGGCCTTTGTCCTGCAGTGGACGTAGTCAGGCTGCTGCTGCTGCTGCTGCTGCTGCTGCTGCTGCTGATGATGATGATGATGATGTGTCTAATAAAGTCTTTTCTCTCTTGGAAGTCAGCGCTCCCCTTTGTCCCTTTCCTTGTCCTGTGTCTCACATATTTTACATGCTCTATCATTAATTATGGCCTTTAATATTTGGTAAGTGGAGATGACAAATACATGAGATGTGTTGTACGAAAACAATTTAGTAGTATGTGAAGGTGCTTCACAGCTCTGCTGAACAAATTTGGGTCTTAAGCGAATATTGAGAATTTGGCTAATGAAGCATAATTATTCAGTTAAGTGGACAATTAAATACAACCTAAGTATATGTTGGCTTTTATTTTGAAGTGTTGGTTCAAGTTAAGTGGGGCAGCCTTTATAATTTATTTTAAATTATGTTGAGTAGTGTGTTGTGGAGCATTAATTTCGCTAAGTGCCAGCAGTTCCGATGCTTTGATCGGATTAATATGTGTCAATATGCCTGCCAAGTTCTACTGGCTTTAGTGTGCTAGTGATCGAATCATAAAGTGAGTACACATGAAGTGCTCTCCAGGTAGATTTTTTAACCTCAGCTTCAGTGTGGGTGCAAGTGGAGTGAACTTTGATAGCGGAGATGTTTTTTCTTGCGTTGGTTAAGTTGCTTTCTGAGTATACCTTACATGTGAATGCACCCACAGGAGTGGCAGACCACAGTCAGAATGCAATGTTCTGGCTTTGGGTCTTGCAGATGACGGCAACAGCAGTAGCAGCAGTGCCCTCGATGAGCCTGTGCGACACTGTGCCTACTCGCTTCCGGTGGACATGCCCAGGTGGCGGCCTCGTGATGATGACCACCAGGCAGGCCACTTTTTCTTTGCCATCACGTCTCACACTGTCATATATGTCATGCACGTAATGCCCAGAACAGCTAGAATTGTCTGAAAGAAATGGAATTTCAAGTGCTGTTCACGCAAGGAGTGGTTGATGTACGACATACCGCTCTCTTGCGGAAATTCATAGAGGGTAATGCAAGGTAGCGAACCAGGTGCTACAATTCTGGTTGAGCTCCCTGCTTTTCTCTGCACTATTTTTTTTTCTCTCTCTCTATGGGAGCATGCACAAAATCTAAAAGAAAGTTGACGGTGCCCATGTTTTGTCCCACTGCCAAAAACGCACGTGTTAGCTTATATATATTGTGACGCCAAGCTTCCAGGTAGAAGCCAGAACAAATTAGCTTATGAACTCTGTGAGGCCTATACCATATAAAGGAAAAAGAACTGATTGTGTTAGCAGCACGTCTATCTGCCCTTTTAACAGAGGTGATTAGGATTTTAGGGGCTAAGCTCTTGAGGGTGTTGGGCGTTACCGCCTCTGTAGTAGTAGTAGCGGTAGTAGTAGTAGCAGCAGTAGTACTAGCAGTAGCAGTAGTAGTAGTTCGTAGTCACGTCTATTCAATAAATTGCTCAACAGATGGCGTTGTATGTATATGTCATTGTATATATATAGCAGTGATGAAAAATAGGGCACTGTGGAATTACAATAGGTATGATGTTGTGAGAGGAATATGGAAAGGGGTCATGGTTCCTGGTATGATGTTCGGTAATGCGGTCTTGTGCATGAGATCAGAAGTTGGAGCAAGATTAGAAATTAAGCAACGTGGAATAGGGAGGCTTGCTTTAGGAGCTCACGGGAATACACCAAATCGGGGAGTACAAGGTGATATGGGATGGACATCATTTGAGGGCAGAGAAGCTAACAGCAAGCTAAAATTTGAGAAGCGATTGAGAGAAATGGGGGAGGAGCGTTGGGCTAGGAAGGTTTTCAGCTATTTGTACATGAAGAATGTCGATACAAAATTGAGGAAGCGAACTAGGGAATTGACTGGTAAATACTTAGAAAACAGCAGGTGGCGAAACTAAAAAGAACTATCGGTAAAGAAGAAAGGGAAAAAAACTGAGACTGACATGTGGAGAGTTGGCATGTTTAAGAAGTCCGCACTAAAGATCTATCGAACTTTTAAGCAGGAAATTGCCAAGGAAAGGATCAATGATAATACTTGGGTAGTTCTCAACCAAGTCATATCGAGCCAAATACGAAGGGTTAGACACGGTATGCAGTGCATGTGGAGAGGAGGAGGAAACTGCCGAACACTTGATAATGTTCTGTAAAGGGCTTCACCCTATAGTTCAGGATGATGGTGCAGAGTTCTTCAAAGAACTGGGGTTTAGGGACAGGGAAGGCAAAATAGACTTTAAGCGGGTAGAAGTAACTATAAGGAGGTTGTCTGATTGGTGGCTAAAGTCAAGGCACGAGTGAAAATTAAACCCTTCACTGTAAAGTACCAGTCCTCAACTACACTATTTAAAAGAAAAAAGTAAATCTGGTTTTTGGTTCACTAAATATTACAGCTTGGGGCGTTAGCCACCGCCCTATCTCAAGGGCACAGCCATATAAATCCATTCATCCATTCATCCTTAGAAATAATATGATGTCTTGGTAGTCTTGGCTGCGACAGCGTTTATTTGAGGAAAGACCTCGCAAAACGAACGGGCAGAGCCAGCACACAGACAATGACAATGACCCAGAGTGGCAATGAGGGCAAAGAGACAAGCGGATGATGGTGATTGTGATTATGCAGGGATGAGGACGATGTAAGTTACAAATGCCCACACTAATTCCCCCCACTTGGAAGCGGACACCCTGGCCGCCGTAAGTCAAAGTGACGGGGAACGTCGCGTGAAAGGTTTCATGCGACAAATGTGGACAATCTCTGTGCTGCGGTAGCGGCGGTCTGTTGGGGCGACGAGTGGTGTCACACGATAATTAACCGGCGAAGTCTGTTCTAAAACAATGTATGGCCCGATGAAGCGTGGTTGGAATTTGTCACAGAGACCAGGAGTGCGAATAGGTGTCAAAAGCAGCACCTCGTCACCAGGTTGGAAAGACACAACGCGGTGGGATTCGTCATAGATGATCTTCCGCTCGTGCTGTCTCGCTTCAGTATTGATGCAAGCCTGATGGCGAGACTGGGCCCGGCGGGAAATGTATTATTGAAATGTATTATTGTGGGCGGGAAATGCCCACAATAATATTGCCGCGAACCATGCATTGGGTTTGTTTATTTGTGTTTTGTTTTTTCGGCCTGGCTGCGCCGGCCTGTGCTATCGCCGTTTTCACAGCGTTTCGAACAAACGCTATCGAACAACGCTTCAGGCGTTGTTCGATAGAAACAACGCTTCAAGTGTTGTTTGTAAGAAACGCTGTTCGAACGAACAGCGTTTCTAACAAACGCTATCACGGCGTTCTCGATACAATTCGACCATTCGAGAAACCCTCGCGCCGAGGGATATAAATTCCCGCAGAGCCGATGCCGCGTCATTCGATCGCCGACGCTCACTAGCGTGCCCGTCGTTTCGCTGGCCGCTGCTTCGCCACCTGTGTATTTTTTCAGTTGTTAGGGGAGCACAGGTTGGCTCCAATAAACTTGTTTTCCTCATAGACAACTGCGTCGTCCTTTGTTGCGTGACAATATCACTAGATGGCGTTAGTGCTTTTTGTATAGTTTATGATTTCGTATAATTACGTTATTAGACCGAATTGTAATGTAAACTTTAAGAAAGAAAAGTGGGTGACAACATAACTTTCCGTGGGCAGGAATCGTACCTGCAACTTTCGAATAAGGCGTTCGATGCTCTACCACTGAGCAACTACGAAGGCTATCCTCCCAGCCACTTTATTTGGTATATATGTGAATTTAAACGTGGGAGTGTCAGTCAGCGCCCTCAGTAGCCATGGCGGCGAGTGTGGCACACTCTTTATGAGCCTGTGTGGTGTCACGTAGCACGTGAATTTATTACGAGCGGGCCGCTGACCAATAGTCCCTTGTATACAACCTAAGGCACCAAGTCTGCCAGTACGAGAGCCTCGTTAATGAGTAAGGGAGCGAAGTGTATACTTAAGGGCTTGTTTTTCCGTGTTTTGACAAGGTCGCGTTATTCGAAGGTCGCAGGTTCGGTTCCTGCCCATGGCAAGTTATCTTTTCACCCTCTTTTCTTTCTTCACATTTACATTACAATTCGGTCTAATAACTTCCCCTATACTTTCCTTGGCATTATTGTCTGTTAGATCTCCCTAATATTGTCAAAAACTTGGAAAAATGAGCCCTTAAGTGTACACTTCTTTCCCTTATTTATGTATATATGTATGTGTGGGTATATATATGAGATATAACAGACAGTAATACCAAGGAATGTACAGGGGAAGTTATTATAACCAATTTAATCTAAATAAGAAGAACGAAAAGTGGGTGAAAAAATAACCAGCCGTGAGCAGGAATCGAATCTACGACCTTCGAATAACGCGTTTGAAGCATTGAACGCGTTATTCGAAGGTCGTAGGTTTTATTCGTGCTCACGGCTGATTATTTTTTCACCCACTTTTCGTTCTTCCTATTTACATTCCATTGGTTCTAATAACTTCTCCTGTACATTCCTTGGCATTACTGTCTGTTAGATCTCATTAATATTGTGTCAAAACACGGAAAAACGAGCCCTTAGGTATACACTTCTTTCCCTTATATATATATATATATATATATATATATATATATATATATATATATATATATATATATATATATATACATACATACATATATATTTCCTTGTAGCCATTGCAATAAGCCAGTTGTTAGTAGCGCCTGTCTCGTCGTCTCTCTTGTGTTCTTTTTTCTTAGCGCAAATATCAAGATGTTATGCATTGATCACCTTTTTACTCAGCAATAAGTTCTCATTACGACGCAAACCACTGGGGAAGAATAGGCATTGAAACTTGGGCAAGTTGGTAGGACATAACTGAATGCACGAACAGTGCAACCTAGAAGAAGTTACCGCGTAACGTATTCTTGTTTTTTCGCTTCGTAGTTATGCAGTAACTACCGTATTTACTCGCATAGTAGGCGAACTTTTTTTTCAGAAAATTCGGCTCGAAGGCAGGGGTGTGCCAATTACCTGGGGTAATATTTTTGACAAGTTTTTGACTCGGTTCTCGTGCTTTAAATCTGCACATTTATCACGTAAAAGACGACTTTTTTGTTGACCCATTAATTCAGCAGAAAACAAACATACCTATGTAGCTTTTAATGAACAAGCGAGAGCCGCCAACTGCACACACACGTAAAATTTATTTACACAAAGGTCGTAGGTGTTCCTCTTTTTTCCTATTCGGAGTCCGAGTCGGAGAGCACACATTCATCCTCGCCGAGCGGGCATTCATTTTCAATGTCCGAATCATCCGCACCCCACAACATGTCATCCTCACTCGCATCCAGTGCGTTCGAGATACCTGGCTTCTTGAAGCTTTTCCTGATGACTTCGTCGGAGATTGCCTGCCACGCTTCCACGATCCAAGTGCAAAGAATTTTCACAGGCGGGCTCTTAATCTTACCACCTGGAATCAGCTGAGGTTGTCTACCAGCTATCCAGGTGGTATACAGCCTTCGAACATTGTCGTTGAAAGGCTTATTCATGGACACGTCCAAAGGCTGCAATATCGATGTGAGGTTGCCCGGAATCACTGCCAGATTTGTGCGCAGCTCCTTTAGCTCATCTCGTACGTGGTCTGTTAGGTGCCCACGAAAACTGTCCAGGACAAGCATGGATGGGAACAACAGACCACCCGGCCGCCGACCCCATGCTGTTTTAACCCAATCAACCATGAGTTTCTTGCTCATCCAGCCTTTTTCCTGAACTCTCTCGTAGATGCCTTGAGGGAAATTTGCATTTGGGAGCGTCTTATGTTTAAAAATACTGTAAGGTGGTACTTGCGCCCATCCGCTGTCACCGAGCATTATGGTGCAT